GCAACGACTTTCGACGGCCTGCCGCGGCTTAGGGCGACCACCAAGTAGTTTGCATTTCGGGGCATTGAAGGTCGCCATCGTCACCGTGTCCCGGTGCCTTCATGCCGAGGCATTGAGTGTGTTCCGTGTTGCGTGGAACTTTGGACATGTTTCGGGCCAGGCGGAGACATTCGTCGGATGGTTGCCGGTCCGCATTTCGGCTGGTGGTGATCTTAGACCAACGCCGCGAAACACTGCTTTGACTGATTGCGTGCAATCGTACAGCTGAGCCAGAAGGTTTCGCGGCACCTGGATCGAAGCCAAAGGGCATCGAAGGGGGGAGGCGGAACGTGTCGGATGTGCAATCGTACTCTACAGTATTTTGAATAGGAGTTTGTTTTGCAGTCATGGGGTGACCGGGAGGCGCGGACGCACGAGACGACTGCAATGGTCGCGTGGGTCGCAAGATCTCAAGGCTGGGCGAATTGAAGGGGTATGTCGGGTCATGGCCTGTAGCGACGACCGGGTCATTTAGTGACATTTTTCCCGAGGGTACATGCAGTATTGTGCCAGCGGCAGGTCCGCGACAAAGCAAGCCTGGAGCACAGCATGGTGATGTTTCTGTGCTGTGTGTGGAGTAGTCGCACCATCCACCATCCACCATTCTCACTTCATATCAGTATCCCTGGTTCCTTTACACAGAGATGCGAAGTTTGACTCGCATCTGTATATGTGCCACCCGCAGCCATCAACAGTTTCTTCCCGTGTGCTGCCGCAGTCGCCGAGGCCGCCTTCTAATAGCAAAGACTTGAGACGTTCAAGACAGCTGCGAATGCTGCAGTGCAGGCGCAGTGCGTGGCAAGCCATTATATCGAGGTGAGATGTTCCAGTGCCGCATGTCGGGAGCTTGGGTGAAAAGCTTTGACAAGCCTTTTGAGTTGCTGTGCTATTTTGACATTTGAGGTGTTCGGAGAATCCCTTCAACGCAATGTTCGCAGGCAGCGGCAAGCCTGACAAGGACATCTGATTGAATTGAGGGTTTCATTCTACATGCCAGCCAAACTCGAACAACAGTTAAGTGTTTTTTGGGATGCATGTTGTCACAATGTGGTCTGGGTAAATACGCTCCAAATCAAGGCGCTGCTGTGAGAAGTGACAGTCGTTACCGGACACTTTTGCAGGCAGCAATATTTGGAGGAGCCAGAAACATGAAGCCGTTAAAACAAAAACGAGGTGTGTGTACTTGGGGTTTGCTATCATCGCGGTCGGTCATCTGCCGTTCTCGAGTTTTTGCAGGCCATTACCGGTCGTGCTTGCACCATGCTCCCAGCCTCGTTGCATTTTGCTGCCATAAGTCACAGTACATGGGGCAAGCACGTGGCGGGGGAGGGGGAGGGGGGTTGCGTTCGGGATGTCTGCTTGAATGTACCTGTTACCCTGTTCACGATCAATACCTCGATTACTGTACTTTGGGTGTATGTGCGATGCTGCGCGTGGATAGGGTATGGGGATGCATGGGGAATGCGGGTCCGATTTTTTCTTGCTTGAAGTGTTTTCGGTGGTGAGTGTAGTTGCACTTTGGAGGACGACTGCATGCAGCCACTGTTTCGCTTGCGTTGAGTGTATGTTTGGTGGATGCGGATACTCCCTTCGAAATTGCCGCGGGTAGTATGTGCTATTGGGCATACGCATTTGCTTGTTTGACGCGCCCGTCGTTCTACGGGTCTCATTGACGTCACGTTTTCTTGCCAAAGAGGGCAGATGTTTCGGGATAACATAGCAGTTTGGAATAGTTTGGATGTCTTGTGACCTCCGAATGGACCTGATATACAACGCCATGCAACGTCCGATAAAGGTTTGATTGAGGGGATGGGCGAGCGATGCATGCTTCGCGGCTTTTGGCGAAGTAGGCCGTTGCCTGCGGAATATTCACGGCAAAGTTTTGAACGGAGGGTATATAAGAATTTGACAGAACTTGGCTAATTTGGGCCATGTCCAGGACACTTGTTTGTGACAGGAGTCTACGATGCAGACATGCTATTATGCTATCTAGAGTCTAGATTTTGATATGCATCCGCCAACCCCTGCCGTTGTTGATGCCCTACTTCCCCACCATCGCCCAACTGGCGCATTTTCGGCATGATGGATTGCAATGCTTGTCGCTTGAGGCTTCTTGTTTTGGCTTGGCAGGAGAAGGAAAAGAAGAAGAAGGCCCGTGATCCTACTCTTGCAGCGGCGAAAGGAAGAGGTTTAGTGGTAGTCCTGGTAGTGTTTAACCGTTAGGAGAAGCGGAAGTCTACATCAAGAAGAGATGCTGCGGCCTTCCAAGCACGCAGCGAGGAAGAGGCAACCAACCCATCCATGTGCGGTTTGCCGTCGCTGGATCCTGGATTTGTTTGCTGTCATGCGACCTGTGGCGGCCAGGTGGTTGCTGCCGTTAAGACTTGGAGTGAGCAGCCTGGCGGCATGTTGACTTCTCTCGACACATGTTGTGCTGTTGCCACGAAATGTTTGGACATCTGGTGGTTTCGCATGCAGGTATGCCCATCCGCGGGCCAACGATTTCTTTTCTAGCCCCGAGCAGCTCGAAGATGTGCTGCGGCAGCTAGCAAAGGCAAGACGCAGGGTCGAACTGTACAACTTCCAAGTGTTCCGGAACATGCACGCAGGATGCATTAGTTTCACTTGGAAGTGGGTGCAGGGTCACCATGCTGCACCATGAAGCACTGGAGTAATCACGGTGCAGGTGCACATCTGTTTTGGCGTTGCATTTCCACTAGGTGAGCTCCTGCTGTATCGCTTTCTCGTAGCACGGAGTCATGTGGGGAGCTTCCATGCAGAGTCTGAAGGTTTCACTGAAACCGTTTCAGGCCCAGAGAACCAACCCGTCTGCTGTGTTTCCTTCGCCTTGGAGGGTTCCATTTCTGCCTGTGCCAGGGCATCGACAAGAATGACGACCCGATTTTGGGCTCCGAAGAGAGGCCATCAGGGTCCGGGGAGATCAGCTATGAGCCGAAGCTGTTAGCAGCTGGTAGCAATCGTCGTCTTCATCGGGTATTGGTTCGGTGATGGCCGAAGAATGACCAGTACAATGGCCGATTACAGGTGGTCCCTACTGTAGTGTCGATGGTGTTGGCAATCGTTGGCGAAGCTGGGGATTGTGTCACAGCTTGACTTGAAAGAGCCGAGGTGTGTTTATTGGTACGGAGACGTCACAAAGGAAGACCTCCAAGCCGCCATTCGCATGGCCTGCTTCTTTGTGATGCTTGATGCTTGTTCTTGTAGCAAGCAAGGATGAACAAGGTCAGTAGCTGTAGCTTCAAGCCGGCGCAACTTGAAGACACTTAATTAACCAGTAGAACGCCTGCCAAGGTTAAGCCAGGCGAGTCCGCCGAGTCCGTGACGTATGTGATGCTTGCTTGAAGCAGTGTTGGGTGTTGCAGGATGGCTTTTTTGTTTGAGACTGCCTGAATCAGAAGGATGGTAGGCACCGATCTCGCTGTTTTAACCAAGATTGCTGGCGGCAGGCTTCTTGGGGATTCTGTCAGCGTTCAGAGGTGCAATGTACTGAATTCAGACAGCACCCAGGAAGTAGCACCCGACTATCCGTGTTGCAGATGAAGGGTGCCCCTTCGGGGCACTTGGGGTCAACGGCCTGCTTGGTAGAGGAACTGTCGGGATCTTTACGCGTCCCAAATCCGAGGAACCGAGTGCTTGCATTCATTTTCGCCACGGACGAATCTTTCGACAAGCGTCCGGGTCCGCACTTTGATCTCCCATTTCGGATGACTGGAGGAGGAGGAGGCTGCTTTCAACCCATGCCATGGGCCGGCATTGCTAGCAGACGGACGCCCGGCTTAGGTTGATGAAGCTGCCCAAGGACTGGGACTGGCACGGGACCTCTTGGCCTGTTAAGTCTCCTTGTGGAAGCTGTGGTTTCGAAGTTCGTGCGATGTTGAGACCTGGCATTCATGAGCAGGTCCGATGGAGTGTGCCGCATCATTAATCTTATGCACTGATTCTGTTCTCGCATCTCGAAAAATCGATCTGGTTGTGGCCGCTTGCCCTGTAAGATGTGCGCCCCTGTAAGATGTGCGCCATCTCGCATAGGAGCCATTCAAGATGAGCTGCGGAGATCAGCCCCTCGGCCGTTTTGGATTCCCTAAGCTGGTCCATCCGATTGCGCAGTGGCTGATTCCGTCGGTTCAAGGCGTACGAACAGGATTGGGCGGAATGGCAGGGTCTAGGCTCAGCGATTTGAGTCAGTGCCCATCACCTCCCAGGTCGTCGGCAGGGCTAGCTTTCGTCTGCCATGCTGTTCAGTCGCTTTCGTTGCAGAAGCAGAAGTGCTGCGCTCCAAAATCGCAGACGCATCCGGGGCATTGTTGGGATGTTTTCACGAGAGCTAGAGTGCTTGTCGAAATAAGCTCGGGGGTCGAAGACCACTCTTCTCGAAGCCCGAGGCTGTGCGTACATTTGGCGCATATTTCCCTGGCCACGTCCAGCTGAGTGCCACGTGCCGAGGCGCTTTGCAAAATTTGCATGGTGAAGGGCCCTGATGCTTCAAGACTGCGGGAGAGATAGGGTTCACGTATTTATTGCTCCGGGATCTCAGGACGAAGAATTGACCCAAGCTCGCCACGTCATTTCATCTAGCTATGAGCCCAGATTAGTTCACATCTCCAAGACTTGATCAACACCGTACTGGTGTCACGGTATTGATTGAGTTGCGGAACTGTTGCAGAACTGTTTCAGCCAGAGGCAGTCAGGCAGTCAACCAGTGTTTGGGCGTTAATCTGGAACCCCATTCAGATAGATGATATGTCGATAGTGTCCACTGCCATTAGTGGTTGGGTCCCTCCCATGCCGCCTGTCCCCGACGCATTGTGTCTCCAAGCCAGGTCTACATGTTCCACGCTGCGGCAGCCGCATGGGGTCTTTGTGAGGGATTGCGATCTGCTCGCGCAAGGGAACTGCCCATGCTTACAGCTGCGGGAGCTGGTTGTGAATCTTCGTTGGGAGGTCTGGTTAACTATGCAGGACGCCTGTCTCCATCAAGTCCGTAACGCTGCAACACTCCGCCCAAGTTCCTGCAGGATTACGCGGTTGACCCTGGTTACGGCCCCCCTGGAGCTTCATGGACAGTTATACAGGGGTTATAAGCCCTCTGGGTACGGTTATAAGTATAGCTGCCTTATCAGCCTAGACATAACTACCCATGAACCTCCAAGCATGAATCGGGTGGAAAATTCAAACCTTCATGGCCAGCGCGGCAGCTTGAGCAGGATTGCCTGATGAATTGTGAGCTTTTACGTTCTTACCATGGCCGAATCGCCCGGAAGGTGACGATGCCGTGAAGACTGCTGCAAGCTTGCATCTCGACGTAGGTTCCCGCAGATTATGCCTCATACCCTGAAAGCTCTGAGTCTGGCGCAATGCCGAAGGAGAAAGGCCCAAGGCCGCTGGTCCCTGTCGCCCTTAATTCACTGTCTGAGATGCCGATTTCTTTGCTAGTGAGTTCTCCCGAACACGCCTGATGACAGCATTTGCCGTGCCACCGGTCTCGAACACGTGCACTCTTCAAATGTGTTGGCAGTGCTTAGCGGCTTAGCAGCCCTACATGCTGAGTGACCCGAGGAACTGTTCGACTTTGCGTTAGCCGGCAGTAGTGGTCGGGTTGCCGTGGGTACACGAAGCAGTAAGACCTAGGTGTCGCCATGCAGGCCCCGACCCGTTTTGCATCTGCAGACTTCATATGACTTGTTCATGGCCGGCGACTGCATGTCCCAGTCGGGTCGTGACGCCTTGGGTAGCAATGTGGAGTCTCCAACTGGCCCCCAAACTCTCAAGAACACTTCTCTGCCATACTCAAGTAGCAGTCTTGCTTGACGTCGCAGAAGCGATGCCAAAAGGACTCTTGATTAAGGTCTGTGGGACTCAGAACGGGAGCTCGGGGCGGCAGTTCGTGACCAGCAGCAACAACCCGTCGTCACTGGTATCCAGCATTCGTGGAAAGGGGCCCCCTGCTGGTGTTTACAATGTCGTCAGATCCATGCCGGGTGGTCTGCATTGAAAAGGTTGGGGCCCCCTCCGCAGCTGGAAGCCTGTTCTAGGTCCCTGCGCTCATGTTCCATTTGCCCGTTTGGGCCTACCTGCAAAGGTGTGGACCCTCCCAAGAGCAAACCATTGCTCCCATTCAGGTCTGGGATGCTTGTGGGGATTGTTAATGTTCAGCCCGAAATCATCCAGAAGGAAAGCCGAAGCCCTTGCTTACAATCACCAAGTACGAACTAAATCAGGCAAACACAAAGACCAAGTCTCGAGGGAGGCCCTGGCAGGCGGCGATCGAAAACGCTTATGCAGTCGTTGTCAGTTGATGTGAGATACGACTACGATGATTGCGGGTAGCTGCTGTGGAGCGTCCACTTCGCGATTGGGACTCGCCAAAGCACGCGATTGCCATCAGGGTTGAAGCTGTAGCATGCTTTTGCTTGGCATCTCTTAGTGTCTGTCCTGAAAACTACTCCTTTCTTCGCAAGCAGACGCTGAGGGCGCGAAGTGGCGACTCCCGGCGGGAAGGCCCGTTGCTCAGAAATACAGTCTCAGGCAGCTTGATTCAGCTACTGCGATGATGAGAGATGGGTTGTGGCCTGTAAACAAACGGTTTTGCTCCGTGCTCTGGCCAACGGATGGGTTTTAGTGAAGTCTTTCGGGTGATGGAATAACGGTTTGTTTGTTTATCCTCAGCCGTGGTTCATGGGGATGGAGGGAAGCGAAGACATGTTCCAAGGCATCCCCCAGACGCGCGGCATCATCCGCTGGTTCAGGTGCAGGCGAGGGAGTGCCCCAGGGCAGCGTCCATCCATGCTCGTCCGAATCCACAGCATGGAGCTTTGCAAACGATGTCGGTGTTGGTATGGTATGGTATGGTATGGTATGGTAGGTATGTATGTGTGCATGTATGCATGCGTGTACGTTTGCACGTATGCCGTATGCATATAGGCATGTATGCATACATATTGGCATGTATGTAGGAATGGCTGCATGTACGCAAGCAAGTATGCATGTATTTACGAATAGGCACGAATGCATGCATGATGATTATGCATGTAGGCATGGCCGGACGAAGGGACGGATGTGTGCATGTAGTTGGCACCATGCGTGCTTAGGGCCGTTTGCTTACGTCTGTCTAACCTTCTGATGAGGAGCAAGCAGCATAGTCATAGTCTTCGTCGGTTTCCGTGCAGCGGCAGTCGTCTGCACTCGTTGCTGTGTCCAGGATTAGAGTTTGGTTTTGTTGGACCAGCGAACTGTCGTCGCAAGCATCTCAGACATCAGGTCCGGTTGGTGTTGTACAAGTGTTGTACATGATGTGCAGCCAGCGGTCAGCATTGTCAGCAACACATGAGCGGAAGGGCACATGGGGGCTGATGTCGCAACTTCGATGTCTGATGAACCTGATCGATCGAGTGGATGGCTGCAGCCTCGCTCGCTCAGATCGGACAACATTTATTGATCCTGGAATTTCCGAAAGTGGGCACCTATAGGAGGATTTCCCGCGCCTTCCAAGCTATTCCAGAATAGCTTCACTTAGGGTGGGGGGGAGGGTGGCGTCGGAGTGGCGTGAAATCTTGCCGAGGGTAGTCCGAGTGTGAATCAAGACCAGCCAACATGAGAGCACATGCGGAGCAGTATACAGCGGTCTTGTAGGACTGTTTGACTACGACGAGGAACTTCGAGCAGCAGGCATGGAGAAGGCGAGAGAGCTTGTGGCTCCACTTCCAGGGATGTCCACGGGTGCTTTAGTTCTGTTCAGTTCCTTGGCACCAGGCTCCCGGTCAGCGCTCGGGGTCCGGATCCCAGAAGAAGGCTGGTGCTGGCACTCTTGCCCTCAAGGGCTGAAGCATTCTGGGCCATGCCCTGGTGAACTGTTTCAGTGTGTGGGGGAATCTGGGCGGTCCTGGCGAAAGTGCCACGAGAAATTCAGCGATCATAATTCTCTATGCCTGCTATGATGCCGAAGGGATGCGGTGCTGCTGCAGATTGCCTCTGCCGTGCATTTCGCCTTGACTTCGTGGTGATGGCTCTCCGCTTATCGTCGCGATTTGTAGTCAGGCCGCCCAGGCCACCAAGTGTGCGCAGAAGAACGGCACAGTTCCTGAAATATCATGAAGCAGTCGCCCTTGCAGTCCTCCCGTAATGGCAAACGATTAGCTAGGTCAACAACGGCAATTGAGGTGACTGACAGCCATGGGGCAGCGCTGCCACGGCGTGGTCACCGTCGCTCTCTGCCTATTTTGCCTGAGGGGTCTCACACGATGTTTTCTGACTTCGACGCCGTGCCCGGGGCTCCGACGACGTGATCACACGTTGCACTGGCTGGTCGCGACAGGGTTCGCGCCAGCAGCCGAAGCCTTTGAAGGTGACGCAGCCTGCATTCGGGAGGCTGCCAGGACACAAACGCTGCAAGACCCAGTCCTTGCCCCAAGCTTGCTGCGGCTTGCCTTCCATGATGCCGCCACCCGTCGACCGGGAGACAGCCGCCGCCAAGGCCCCAATGGATCGATCCGCTTTGAGTTGATGCGGGATGAAAATTACGGACCGTCCATGGCTGCTGCGCTGGCAGCCGTGGAGAGTATCGTGCAACGCTGCAAGGTGAGCTGGGCGGATGCTATTGCTGTTAGCGGCGCTGCGGTTGTTGAGGCCATGGGAGGGCCCGTGATACCCGTCGAAACCGGGAGGTCGGATGCCACGGAACCTGATACTGACAAACGCTTGCCTGACGGCACTCTGACTTCCGGGGCGATCCGGGACTACTTTCGTCAGCTTGGGATGTCGGACGCTGAGCTGGTCGCGCTTCTTGGCGCTCACACTGTGCCCGGGCAGGAAGCACGAATGGAGTTGCATGCAGGTTCAGGGCTCGTTCTGTAAGCAGATTTCGGTCCTCAGGATAACCTCCCCGCTTACTGCTTGGTGCTCCTGCCGCTGCCAGCATCTGCCAGCTGAAGACACTGGCCTCCGAAGATGTGAGTCGGAGCATTCAGTCAGCAGACACCGCCCGCTTTGCTTGCATCAGTCAGACGTTTCTGTCCTCGATGTTGCTCCCAGTATATCCACGTCATGCAAAACTGCAGATAGCCTGTCGTAGGTTGCGTAGCCTTGGACGCGGTTATAAGATCATTTGAACCCCTAAGCAACAGGCACCACCTGGCAGAGGGCGGTGTAGAAACAGGAGATGCGGGTTTCAACCGAGAGGTGGGACGATGGACGTCCTTGCTGGATGTGCGTCCAGACTGCCTCGACAAGGAGGGCGGTCAATGATGATTGCCTTGCTTGCAATTCAAGACTAATTTACGGAGCAGCAGACCACCGCAGGTACAGAAGCCCGTTTTGCGGGGTGTGTTCCACTAACCTCCGCCGACATGCTTGACCATAGCGAGCTGCAGTTTCGGCGTGATTTCTGCGTTTGCTCAAGCAACTCAGCCACGCGAGGTCAAAACTCCAGCATTTTCAGATCAGGTGAAGCTATTTTTTGTTTTTTTGGAGCACACTTTTTTTTGGGTCCGGGGCGCGAAGGAAGGAGGAAGGAAGGAAGGAAGGAAGGAAGGAAGGAAGGAAGGAAGGAAGGAAGGAAGGAAGGAAGGAAGGAAGGAACGGAGAGAGGGAGGGAGGGAGGAAGGAAGGAGGGAAGGAACGGAGGGAGGAAGGAAGGAAGGAAGCAAGGAAGGAACGGAGGGAGGAAGGAAGAAAGGAAAGAGCCCAGGGAGGAAGGAAGGAAGCAAGGAAAGAATGAGGGAAGGACGGAAGGAATACACATATTGTACGCTTGTATATGTGTATCATACACGTATACAAATACATATAAAGATGCTATATTGGATTCTTAAGATGGTACTTATATACGTACACAGGCAGATATGTATATATTTAAAGACACTGCACTCTCTCTATCTCGTATGATGTTCATGAGTTTATATACATATCATATATATATATAGAGGTAAATAGGTAGATAGATAGATAGATAGAGATATATCACAACGCAAAAATATAAGTGACAGAAATAACATATGTGTACAATATGTATGTATAATATAGAAAGAGACAGAAAGCATATATGTATTGTTTTGCCATATAGTATATGTTGCAGCAGATGCGACAGCCAAAAAAGTAAATAGAATGTAACATGTACACACACATGCTCTTTACCTGCTATACACACTGTTCACAAACCGAATGCCACACACTATGCATATATGCATATACATACACATACATACATACATACATACATACATACATTGACCCGGGAAACTGGGTC